CTCCAGCTCTCCTGGAGCCCCTTTAGGCCCTGGAAGGGGTTCCAAGGTCTCCCTGGATCCTTCCCTTCTCCGGGCTGGACATTCCCAGCTCTCCCAGCCTGTCTGCAGAGCAGAGGGGCTCCAGCCCTTACAGCATCTCCGTGGCCTCCTCTGGAATTTCTCCAGTGGCTCCACATCCCTCTGCTGTTGGAGATCCCAGAGCTGGAGGCAGCACAAACCTCCTGTTTTATCAGAATTTCTTCTATTGTAATTTTTATTCCAAATCCCCAGAAGCTCTTGAAGTGCCTTCCTTTATCTTTCTGCTTTTTCATCCATTCAACATTAACTGGTGAAGGACTTAAGGAACCTTTCCTTGGAATGTCCTTCGTAGCACTTCTGATTTTAGGGATGCTCCCTGTTCTCTCAGCAGTGGATTGGTCTTGGAAGCATCATTCCCTGCCCGTGGGAGAAGGCTTGGAATGAGATGATCTTTAAGATCCATTCCAACCCAAGCCATTCTGTGATTCCATGACCAAAATTGCTGATGCCCAAAATAATTTGCATGGAACATTATTTCCATGTGTTAATTAAGCCAAAGTCCCACGTAGGAGTCGGAGGGATGGGAAGGAGTCTTAAAATTACCCTTTGGATTTGGGATCTTGGCTTCCTCCAGGGGTTTGGAGGTTCCATATCCTGCGGCGTGGGCAGGAGCAATGCCAAGGCCGAGCTGGGTGGGATATTTATCCCAAACACTTCCCAAATTTTCTTGCAGCTGTAGAAAAGGGATTGTTTGTGTGATGTTGGGGCTTTCAGGGATGTGAATCCCTCCATGTACTCCTTTATCCCGGTGCTCATTTACCCCACTGAACGTCTTTATTAGGAAAAATTCCAGGGATTTTTCCCTCCAGGCAGAGCCTGGTTTTCTCCTTCCCTCACCGTCAGGAGTCTGGCTGAGTTTGGGAGCCGAAATCTGTGTCACCTGTTCCTTCCCAAACCCAACACAAACTTGTTGGGAACACTCAAGAAGGAAAACATTCCCGGTGTGAAAGTGTAAATCCATGGATTGATGTTGCCGCTGTTGCAGGAAGAGGGGGAAGCTGCTCCCTGATTTCTAAGGAATAAGATTGACTCCAAAACATATTTCTCTATTTTTCCTGTTTGGACACCGCTCCAGCATACTGAGTTTAAGTGGGACGGGATATTCTCCCTCCTCTGGTCGAGACAAACATTGGGATGGGGACAATGTTTCCAGGGGGAATAATGATTCCCGCTTTTCCCCTCTGAACCTGCCGTGAATTTTATGGAGAGGATCTCCAAGAAAAACAACCAGCCCTTTAACAACCGGCCCAGGCCGGGTCTGGGCACAGAGGATCGGCTTTAATTATCTGGGAACTTCCAGCTGGAAGTTGTAAAAGTTGGGACATTGGATGCATTCCCTGAAAGCTGGGGAAAAAAAACGGCCTTGCCATCCAAGGGGGGGAAAAACCGGAGTTGGGAATTGCAGGGAATGTTCCACGCAATATCCCGGCATGTGGGTCATCCTGGGAAGTGGAGAATCCCGGGATGATTAGGGTTGGAAGGTAAAGATCATTCAGTCTGACCCCTGCCCTGGGCAGGGACATGTCCCACTGTCCCAGGTTGCTCCAACCTGGTTTTGGACACTTCCAGGGATGAAAAATACTGGATTAAATGGATAAATCCTTTTCCGGGGGGATATTGGGGATTGAGGTATTGGGGAATCTGTGATTCCCCTGGTGGAGTTTTGCTGAGGGGCTGCTGGAGCCAAACACCCCCAAGACCATTTTGGGACTTTCCCGTTACCATCTGCCGGGGTTGTCCCATCCCTGACACATCCCAGGGCTCTTCCATCCCTTTTCCAGGTTCTAAGGAGTTGGGTGGCACCTGAGTTGGACACGGAACCTCTGATGGTTGGAATATTCTGTCATTCCACGATTCTGTGACTCGAAAGATCCTAAAGGTCTTTTCCAGCCTTAGCAATTCCATCGGTGAGATCCCTCCCGTCCCATCCACACCGGAATTCCAAGCCCTTTTTTTTCCATGTTCTTCCTCCTAGGATCCAACTTCCCCTTGGCCAGGAACCCCCCTTCCAACAAGGTGATCAAGACCCGCTACAGGATCGTGAAGAAGAACGTGACCACTCCAGCCTCGTCCTCCTTCTCCAACCCCATTCCCACCTGGAAGGCCAGGCGCCCCATGACATCCAGGTAATTTTTCCATCTCTGGAATGCAGCTGTTGGGATGCGGGAGCCGGGCCAATTCCCATGCCAGCTCCGTGTTATTCCCTGTTTGTTTGGTCCTCCTTAAGCCGAGCTTATTGACTTCAAGTGGAAAATGGTTTTAGTCATCGGGTTAAGCTCCCAATTAATTCCCCCTTGGAATCACTTGTTTCCCTGGAGCAGTTAAATCAGCTGGAAGGAGGAGGAATAAATGTGTCGGCGTGTTGTCGGGTGGGAAGGAGATGCTCCTAACCTTCCCTGGGATGGAGGTGCTGGCACAAAGTCGCCTCTTTTCCCAGTTTTCCCGTCTGGAAATATGCCGGCACCCGCCTGGAAAAGGGTGTCACCCAAGGATGGTGCCGTAGCCTTGAGTCAGAGTCTTCCTAAATCGGCTGGAGATGTTTCCAGAGGGCATCTTGGAGGCCAAGGGAAAACCTGGAGGTTGTGTAGGAGCGGGAAGGTCATTGGAATAATTGGTGCTGGAAAAAAAAAGGGGCTTTTGGAAGTTTGGTTAAACCCCAGATTTTGGCTGCTTTTAGGTTGGGAGTGACTCGTCGTCCCCCTCAAAATGCCAACAGGGCTAGATGGGATATCGGGAAGGAATTCTTCCCTGGGATGCTGGGATGGATTTCCCAGAGAAGCTGTGGCTGCCCCATCCCTGGAAGTGTCCAAGGCCAGGTTGGAGCAACTGGGATAGTGGGAGGTGTCCCTGTCCCAGGCAGGGGGTTGGACCTGGATAATCTTGCAGGTCCCTTCCAACCCAAACCATTCCAAGATTCCATGAACTTCAGCCTTAATTAATAACTGTTCAGAGAACAGTTTGTGTTCTTTCTGTTCCGCTCCGGCTCTTCCCGTCGTCATCTGATGGAGGATCCGTGGTGAGAGACAGGAAGGGGAGAAGCTTCAGAAATGGGAATCAGGCAGGACCAGAGCAGGAGCCTCTGGAATGTGGGTGGTGGGTCTTGCCCAACCCAGCAGCGATTTTCCAGCGGAACGACCTCGTTCCCATTCCATCCCTATCCGTCTCCAACTCCGTTAAACGACGGAGCCGAGATTTTCCAGCTGCTCCAGACAAATCCGGATGAAACGCCGGCAGCAAATTAAAACAATTGTGGTTTCACGGAGCCGTAAATCCCAAATTACCTTCGTTGGGGGCAATCCATCATCCAGCCTGTCTGGAGGGAGCACGTGGAAAACGCTTCTCCCGTGGTTTTTATGGGGTTTTTTTCACTCCATCCTTCGGAGCATCCTCACGGATCTGCCACAAGGAGCTCCTTTTTTCCTGATTTTCCTTGCTCTTCCCAAAGCAAGGAGTCGCTTCGGTGATGGTGGGACATTGAGTTTTATCTTTCCTCCTGATTGGACAATTATTTTTAATGATTTTTAATGATTTTAATTATTTTTAATGTTTCTGTAACATTCTGCTTTTAATACTTGAAATATTTTATAATAATTCGATGTTTTTAACGTCCTCTTCTTAAGCCAAAAGTGGGAATTCAACCAGTGGTGCCTCCCTCTGCTCCCAAATTTCTTCCCAGCTGCCACTAAGGAGCGACTCCTTCAGTGAAATCCGGTTTTTTGGATGTCCAGAAGTGACATCCCAGGGTTTTACTCGCTCTGGGACATCCGGGATGTCGCCCTTGTTGCCAAGAAATCGCTGGAATAGGGTGATGAGGGGCGTGGCTTTGGGAAACGAGTGCCAGGGAGAGCTGCAGGAGGCACCTGATCCCGATCCCTCGGGAATGAGTTCCGTCCCCCCGGTCATCGCCGGCTTGCATTAAACTCTGCCCTGCTGCTGACTCGGCCTCGAGGCGAGGAGGTGGGAGTATATTTGAAATTAATTTTCCTCCACTTTTGGTAATATTTTGGTTTTAAATAGATTTATAAGCGACCCGGGGCCCATTCCTCCCAATTTATGAAGATAATTTCCCCTCTCTCGATAAGGTTAAATTTACACCCGCTATTTCCATATTAATTCGCGCTCCTAAGTGGATCTCATTTTCTTCCCTCCTTCTATCCAAGACAGTGTGGCCCTTTCCTAATGCAATTTCCCCCCCCCTCCTCACTAAATCACCGTGATCGGGAAGTCATGATCGAGTTAAATTAACTTAAATTAATTTACTTAATAAGAGCTCCGGATCGTCGTGAATGAGGGGAAGATTTATTGATCCTCCTTTTTCACTCCTCCCCTTCCCCTCCCGCCGCTTTGCCGGAGCGTGGCTCCCGAGGGCCGGGATTTGCTTCCCGTTGACTTTGAGGTTGGTCATCCCTTAAATAAAAAAAATCTTGGGAAAGGGATGTCCCCTCCCTTCACAGCCTCTTTCCGTCGGGAGGAGTTTTGGTGGATGCTTCCAAGCTCTTCCCGTGGATCCCATGGTGTCAGGAGATGTGGCCACTGGGAAATTGGGATGTCCAAATGTCACAGAGCTTGTCCAGAGGCAGCTGAAGCCTCCTGGAGTTGCTGGTTAGAAGGATGGAGCACCTTTCCTACAAGGAAAGACTGGGAGATTTGGGATTGTTCATCCTGGAGAAGAGAAGGCTCTGGGGTGACCCAGTTGTGGCCTTCCAGGACCTGAGGGGAGCAGAAGAGGGAGATGGAGAAGGAATTTTTGCAAGGGCCTGGAATGACAGGATGAGAGGGAATGGCTTCAACCTGGCAGAGAGTAGGTTTAGATGGGGTGTGGTGGGATTTTTGGGGTGTCGGGAGATGGGGCCACCAGGAAATGGGGATGTCCAGGAGTCACAGACCTTGTCCAGAGGCAGCTGAAGCCTCCTGGAGTTGCTGGTTAGAAGGATGGAGCACCTTTCCTACAAAGAAAGGCTGGGAGATTTGGGATTGTTCATCCTGGAGACGAGAAAGCTCCGGGGTGATCCAGTTGTGGCCTTCCAGGACCTGAGGGGAGCGGAAAAGGAAGATGAAGAGGGAATTTTTGCAAGAGCCTGGAGTGCCAGGATGAGAGGGAATGGCTGGCAGAGAGTAGGTTTAAATGGGGTGTGGTGGAATTTTTGGGGTGTCAGGAGATGGGGCCACCGGGAAATCGGGATGTCCAGGAGTCACAGACCTTGTCCAGAGGCAGCTGAAACCTCCTGGAGTTGCTGGTTAGAAGGATGGAGCACCTTTCCTACAAGGAAAGACTGGGAGATTTGGGACTGTTCATCCTGGAGAAGAGAAGGCTCTGGAGTGAGCCAGTTGTGGCCTTCCAGGACCTGAGGGGAGCAGGCAAGGAAGATGGAGAGGGAATTTTTGCAAGAGCCTGGAGCGACAGGATGAGAGGGAATGGCTTCAACCTGGCAGAGAGTAGGTTTAGACGGGATGTGGTGGGATTTCTGGGATGTCCAGGAGTCACAGGCCTTGTCCAGAGGCAGCTGAAACCTCCTGGAGTTGCTGGTTAGAAGGATGGAGCATCTTTCCCTATCCCTGGGAGATTTGGGATCGTTCATCCTGGAGAAGAGAAGGCTCCGGGGTGACCCAGTTGTGGCCTTCCAGGACCTGAAGGGAGCGGAAAAGGAAGATGGAGAGGGAATTTTTGTGAGGGCCTGGAGTGACAGGATGAGAGGGAACGGCTTCAACCTGGCAGAGAGTAGGTTTAGATGGGGTGTGGTGGGATTTTTGGGGTGTCAGGAGATGTGGCCACCAGGAAATTGGGATGTCCAGGAGTCACAGACCTTGTCCAGAGGCAGCTGAAACCTCCTGGAGTTGCTGGTTAGAAGGATGGAGCACCTTTCCCTATCCCTGGGAGTTTTGGGATTGTTGAGCCTGGAGAAGAAAAGGCTCCGGGGTGACGCAGTTGTGGCCTTCCAGGACCTGAGGGAAGCGGAAAACGGAGATGAAGAGGGAATTTTTGTGAGGGCCTGGAGTGACAGGATGAGAGGGAACGGCTTCAACCTGGCAGAGAGTAGGTTTAGACGGGATGTGGTGGGATTTCTGGGATGTCCAGGAGTTGGACTCGTGATCCTCGTGTGTCCCAACTCCGAACATTGTAGGATTCTCTGAACTCCAGCAGGCGGCTCCAACCCTGGGCATCCAGAGGTGCTTTTAAGCCACATTTTTGGGAGTGCAGAGTCCTCAGCCTCGTGTTCAGAGACCCCCAAGCTGCGAGTCGAGCGCTGACCCAATTTGAAGAGTTTTTCTTAAAATCCTGCTGCGAATGTGGAAAACAAAAGTCACCTTTCTGCAACGAATCCGACACGT